ACTGTAAAGTCAATTTGAACCACAAGTTCAAACTCACCAGCTGATCCTCGAAAACCCTATACAGGGTTGCTATAGGCTGGAACCAACTCAACGGCACTTCACAACAACAACTACAATTGAGAAGAAAGGAACCCTGGTGGTGCAGTAGTTAAGCAGTCAGCTGCTAACTGACAAGTTGACAGTTCAAACCCACCCAGTGACTCTGTGGGAGAAAATCCTGGTGATCTGCTCCCATAAAGATTACAGCCTAGACAACCCTATGGGACATTTCTACTCTGTTACATTCCAGTCTATGGAATCAGAATTAATTGGATGGCACCTAACCACAACATTAATTGAAGAAACATCTTTTAGAGGAGTGGTGAAGAAAGACCTTCCCAAAGAGGTCGCTTTCAGCTGAGACTTAAAGTATCCTCCAGACGTTGAAATGCTCCCGTGCAAGGAGCTGCAAGTTCAAAGGCACAAAAGCAAGTAAGAGCCAGGCATGGTGGAGACTCCAATGAAGGCCAGTGGTTCTAGAGTGGAGTGAGTCCCAGGACCAGTGAAGTTGGAAAAATAGTCAAGGGACAAATCATGCAGGACTTAGAACCACCGAGAAGGAATTCAGAGTTTGCTTAAGGATCCATGGAAAATCCAAGGGATTAAAAAAAATTATTCTGGTTTAAGGATTGGAAGTAGGCAAGAGAAGAAACAAGGAGATAAATTTAAGCGATAATTATAATTTTTAGGCCAGAGAGCAGTCACATTTCCTAACCCTACCCACCTCCCTCGAGTCACTTCTGAGTAATGTTGTTATGTGCGTGGAGTCAATTCTGAATTCTGACTTACAGCAACCTTGTACAGGGTTTTTGAGGAGTGGCTAGTGGGTTTGAACTTGGGGTTAGCAGTCCAGTGCCACACCATAGCAAACCTAGACTGTTAATTTTTACAAGAGCAGACAGTCTCGTTTTCTCCCAAAACTGGTCACCAACCTAAGCCAGGGTTTCCAAGGCATCTTTCTCCTGCAGAGCAGCTGGCAGTTTTGAACTGCTGACTTTGAGGTTAGCAGCCCGACTCATAACCAGTATGCTATCAGAGCTCCTTAACCTAACCCATAGCAAAACCCAAGTCTAACTTATAGCGACCCTGCATAGGGTTTCTGAGAGCAGCTGGTGGATTTGAACTGATAACCATGTGATTAACAGTTCATTGCTTATCTATCCTACAGTGCCTCACCAGGACTCCAGGGATATAATTCAAGTCTGTTTCATTTGGTTTCTCGTGTCTTTGTTATAGAAGGTCTGGGTAGCTTGTGTGCCTACTTCACATCTTGCTGCCAGAGTAAATAGTTTGGTTGTTGTTAATAAGTACTGTTGAGTTTGTTCTGACTCATAGTGACGCCATATAGGGTTTCCAAGGAGCGACTGACTGGTGAGTTTGAACCAATGACTTTGTGGTTATCAGTCAAGTGCTTATCCTACAGGTTTACACCAGAAATCCCTTTATAACTGTTGTGAAGTGCTGTCAAGTCGGTTTCACCTCATAGTGATCCTGTATGGAGCAGCTGGTAAACTGGATTTGCCAACCTTGCAGTTCAAACCAATCTTGTAGCTCAGTGTTTATCCTATGCTGTTGCTGTTAAGTACTGTGGTGTTGGTTTCGACTCATAGTGACCCTGTATAGCATATCTGAGGAGCATCTGGTGGGTTTGAACTGCTGACCCTACAGCATTATTGACATGAAACAAATAGGAATGAGACCAGCAAGAACAGAGTGAGGTTTGACCTTGTGAAGCAATCGCTGTTGGTCCAGCAGAACAGATACCACTTATGTATTTTTAGAGGTAGATTTTATTTTCTTAAACTTTTCATGTGATTTGGGTAAACGTTTAGAGAGTGAATTTGTTTTCGTGACAGGGACTGCAATCCCCATAATGTAACAATAGTCATCCCACTTACTGCCCTTGAGCTTTACCACTGCCCTTTTCATCTTGTCTGCGTGATTGTCTTAAGAAGTGTGGATCTCCCTGGTTTCGCTGAAAGTTGAGCCAAAGGGTAACACAGAGCTTTTATTGGGTATCCTAGTGTGGCGCTGTGAGTTAATGCACTGGGTTGCAAAGTCGATTTGAACCGTAAACTCGGAGTTTCAAGCTCACCAGCAGCTCCTCATAAACCCTATACAGGGTTGCTGTGGTTCGGAACCGACTCGACGGCACACAATAACAGTAACAACTTTGATCCAGGCCCTGTGCTAGTTTCTTTGAATTTATTAACTTAGCATCCACAAAACTCCTTGGCAGTATTATCATTCTCATTTTGTAAGTAAGAAAATGAAGATTTAAGAAAAATTTACAACTTGCTCAGGATCACCAAGCCAAAACCGATTTCAATTCCAGATTTTTGAAATGAATTCTGTGGTTTCTTTAGACTCCATCTTTATCTGAAGTGATTTTACTGCTGCTGCTGCTGTGTGCCGTGGAGTCGGTTCCGACTCATAGCGACCCTGTACAGGGTCTCCGAGGCTGTAAATCTTCACAGGAGCAGAAAGCCTCATCTTTCTCCGCGGAACCGCTGATAGTTTTGAACTGCTGACCTTGCGTTTACAGCAGCCCGACTGGTAACCACTGCGCTCCCAAGACTCCCTACATACACAGGTAAATGAATTCAGTGAGTACTGGGAGGAATGAGGGCCATTAAGTGCGTAAGGGCATGATTGAATTCCAGAGTGGATGGAATCGTTGGGTAAACAAATGCGTTTGGATGAATGAGTGAGGAAACGTGTGGATGCACTGAAGGAGTAAATGAATCAGTGAGTGGGTGAACCAAGAGGAATGAGGGCTTTTGAGACTGAGCTCCCTGAAACCGGAGTTCCCGGCAGCTGGCCGGTGAGCGCTCGGGCGTCTACTCCACACAGTACGGTAGGCGCGGGCCGCTCCCCTCCGAGTCCCGCTCACGCCTCCCCAGTCCTTCCTCCTCCTCCACCCCCCCACCCTCCCACACACAGCCTGCAGGCAGCCGGGGTCTTAGTCCCTGGCGGGCGGGTGTAGGAGGCGGCTGCCGCGTGCTGCTGCGCTCGCCTGGCCGCCACCGCCGGGCGCACCGAGATGCGCAGAGGAGTCGCGCTGCCTAGGGGCCGCCCTCGCTGCCGCCCCGCACCATGAAGCTCCGCAACAAGGCGGCGGTGCTGCTCCTGTTGGCGCTGGCCGCGCTGCTGCTCGTGTTGCTGTCCTTGCGCGCCGGCCGCGCGGAGCCCCGCATGCTACCCGCGCGCCCCTCGTCCGCCCCGCGGCGCCACCGCGCGACGGCCGCCCCAGCAAAGGCAGCCCCGGGAACCCAGCGGCGCCGGCGCCTGCGTCCACGTCCTGAAGCCGGCCGCCGGAGCGCGGCGAGCCTGGAGAAGTTGGCGAGGTGAGTCGTGGCAGCTCCAGAATCCCATCTGGGAACCCGTGTCTGTCCCTCCACCCGTGCCAAGCCCAAGGAGGCCTTAGGCTGAAGGGACTGTCTTCAAGTTTCGCCCTCGGGCTCCCCCACTTCTGTTTCCTCCCTGCTGGAAACGTGGAACCACCTTCTAAGGACGCATTGGTTGTTAATCGCGTTACGTTTTTTGAAGAAGTGTCAAAGAAAGTGGTTTGTATATCACTTTTTTTTTAACTGTCAAGGCATATTTTTGCATTCTAGCAAACATGTTCTCTTTGTTTAATTTTTCAAAAACCATCACGATGCAAGAATGCATTATCTAGTTCTCATGTTTCACTAGAGATTTTTTGCCGAAAAGTTAGCTTTGATTTGAGTTGGAAAAACGACGCGTTTACTAAGGACCGCCTACCTCTCATTCAATCTTTAATATCCACGCCACAGAAGAGGCACGCGACCTAAGTGTATTTAGAAGAAGTTTTACTCTTAGAGAAGAGTGATGGGTAACTCGTAAAACACGGAGAGAGAGTTTCCCTATTCCTCGTTTTCTTTTTAGACTGGAGGAAAGAGTTCCACAGGAAAAAAAAAACCCTTAACCTTCGACTTTATGTTAGATACTTTCTTCTCTCCGCAAAGTTTAACACGCCTAGGCTTTTCTTTAGCGTTTTACTTCTGACCTTAGGGTTGCTGGGCCGTTCTCAAGTTAGGGATTTGAGTTCATTTCCTTTGTTGTGGAAAGCTTTTTTAACAGCCCACTCCCCCCTCCCTTAGTCCTTGAGAGTCTATTTCCTCTGTGTTGTCGGAGCTGTTGATGTTTCTAACTGCCGTTGCCAAACCCTCCTTTGCTGGTCTCCTTAATTTCTTGAAACGGTGGAATTCTTTTAGACTATAATGACTAAATCTGTGTTGGCGCTTTTGCTTTAACTAACGGGAAAGACATGAAGCTTCAAAAAGCTGGGAGGGTCAGCTTTTACTTTTCTTCTACCTCACACTGACTGTACAGATGGGTACTCAAAAGCTTTAGGGGGAAATCCAAAGATTTATGGGATTGCCAGTATTTACACCTTAAAATGCCTTACCAGCCGCTTTTAAATCGACAGCACTTACCAATAACAACATATATTCATAAGGAATTGTTGTTAAGTGTCAACGAGTCTCTACTCTGTATAGGGTTTCCAAGGAGCGGCTGGTGGGGTTTGAACCTCCAACGTTGTGATTAATAGGCCAGTAGTTATCCTACAGCTCCACACCAGGACTCATAAATATATACTATTGTTGTTGGATGCCATCAAGTGGTAGCAACTCATAGCGACCCTGTATGGAGGAGCAGCTGGTGAATTTGAACCACCCAATCTTGCAGTTCAAACTGACCTGTGGTCCAGTGCTTTATCCCAAAGCGCCACACTAGGACTCCTATAAGTATATACACTAGTTAAAATAAAGCCATTTCTGTTAGGAACATAATAGGATTTCCCCTCCTACTTAATGAGGTTTCTTAAATAGTGAATCTTGATCTTCAGGTTCAATTATAAATTTACACTAATTTGTACATCCAACAAACAACTACTAAGACAATAACAGCTGGCACCACTTAAATAGTTAATGTATTACCTGGCACAGTGCTAACAGCAGTACAGAAAACTAGATACTGTTAACCCCTACGTTACTTATGTGTTTATGGTATGGTGCTGTAGGATCAGCACTTGACTGCAAACCACAAGGTCGGCAGTTCAAACCCACCATCTGCTCCTGGGAAACCCTATACAGGATGGCTATGAATCGGAATCGACTCAACAGCACTCAACAACAACAACTTTACATATTGTTGCTGTTGTTATGTGCCATTGAACTGGTACCGACCCATAGCGACCTTTTGCACAGCAGAACGAAACACTGCCTGATCCTGGGCCAACCTCACTGCTGTTGCCACGCTTGAGTCCATAGATGATGCCACTTGACCAATCCATCTCATTGGGGTCTTCCTCTTTTTCTCTGACCCTCCACCTTACCAAACATGATGTCCTTCTCCAGCGACTGGTCCCTCCTGACAATATGTCCCAAGTATGAGAGATGAAGTTTGGCCATCCTGGCCTCCAAGGAGCACTTTGGCTGCAATTCTTCCAACACAGATCAATTGGTTCTTTTGACAGGCCATGGCACTTTCAATATTCTTCTCCAACACCATAACTCAAAAGCATCTATTCTACTATGATCTTCCTTATTCGCTGTCCAGCTTTTGCATGCATATGAGGTTATTGAAAATACCATGGCTTGGGTCAGGCACACCTTAGTCCTCAAGCTGACAGCTTTGTTCTTCAACACTTTCAAAAGGTCTTGTGCAGCAGATTTGCCTAATGCAATACTTTACATATAGTAACTATGTAATCTGCAGCATAACTCTTGTGACAATGGTTCTCAAAGTGTGGAGTATCAGCAGCAGCACTGCCGTCACCTGAGATTTATTAGAAAGCAAATTCTTGGTCCCACCTCATCCCTAATGGGGCTCAGCAATCTGTGTGTTACTAAGCCCTAAGGGGATGCTGATTCACACCCAAGCTTGAGAACTATTGCTTTGCAAAGTAAACACTAATATTATCCCCATTTTACAGACAAGGAAAGTATTGCACAAGGCTTACCAATATGTCCAAGGTTCTTGGGTAAACCAGATGCCACTGAGTTAACTGTGACTCATAATGACCCATGTGTGTCAGAGTAGATCTGTGCTCCCTGGAGTTTTCAGCGGTTGGTGTTTTGAAACTATATTCACAGGCCTTTCTTTTGAGGCAGCTCTGGGTGGACTCGAACATCCAATCTTTCTAATAGCAGCTAAGCAAACTAACCTTTCATATCACTCCAGATTCACCAGGTCAAAACCAAAGCACAGTCATTGCCTTTGAGTGGATTCTGACTCACAGCAACCCTCTAAGATGGATAGAACTGCTCCTTAGGTTTTCTGAAACTAAATCTTCAGAGGAGCTGCAGCCTCATCTTTTTCCCAGGAGTGGCTGGTGGGTTTGAACCACAAATTCTTAACCCACTGTATCACCAAGACTCCTCCAGATTCACAGTATTCGAGCAATAGGATAAAGATCCAGGCAGTCTGGGCTTAGCTCGAGCTCTTACCTGCTATGCTGATGCCATCTATCAGTCTTGCCTACATTTCATAATTTTACTGAGAGTTTTTTTTTTTTTTTCTAAAGAAACTGTCTCATTCTTCAAGGTGCTGGGAACATTGGGGCAGCATTTTCTTGTCTCTCTCAGAACAAATTGTCTCTGACTAGCAGGGGATCATGAACAGAATCCAAATGGATGTTTTAGGGAAGGACTCATTCCATGAGCAACAGTTCTTCTTGAAGCCATTTTTCTTTTTGAACCTATCTCTTAGATTATCATGAAAAATCATGGCCAACACCGTAGGAATGAAAAACTAAATTAAGCCACTTGGTAGAAGGAGGGTGAAAGCCACAGGAAGTCTCAGGCTCAAATGCATAAACATGAAAGTCTAGCGTCCTCTGGAGCAGTTGACATTTTCTAGGGCTTATTTATTGTCACTGCAGCAGAAGATTCTGAACAGGAAAAGATCCCTAAATGGATTCCTATAATGGCTTTACTAGTCTTGCCTTGGTTAAATTTTTGTGGTTGAGGAGGAATTTCAGTTTTAGAGAGGGAAGAGAGAGCCTCGTGTTTTCAGCAAGCAAGTGCCTTAATCTTTTTATGTGGCTGGAATCCAAAAGAGATGAAGGTATGTGAGCTCATTTCTCGGACTCAGGGAGGGTCAGACTTGAGGTTGCAATTAGCAGAAAGCTTGGAGTTGAATGTGTCATCGTCCACCACCTGCTAACCATCCGCACACCGTCCTTGGCTTCCCCCAGGGTACTGCTGTAAGTGAAGTTTTGCCACGTCAGCGCAGGAAACATAGCCTTCTCCTTCCACATCTTGTTTTCATTTTGGTGAAGTTTCCAGGGACTTACTTGCCTGCTTAGCAGGCCGACCCTACAATTTTGTAACTACTCATTTGTGTGCAATCTGTCCTGTGGTGACCTCCACTCTCTATACACATCCAGCCGGGAGGTAAGGGGCTGAAGTTTTAAATCAAAAGTGGGACCTAAAAATGGACGCTGTTCAGGTCAGTAGCAGTCCCAGTGCACAAGAAAAATGAAATCTTCCTTCTGTTTTGGTTTATTGGTGGTCTTTACCTGACGGACTTCCAAAAGTAATTTGAGACAACTTACATAAAAGATATATACAATAAGGCCATTGATATAGTTATTAAAAAAAAAAGTCATAAAGAAAAGGGAGAATGAGTTCTGTTTGTCAGAAACTAAGGCCAGTATTATTGCACAGATTAAGTGTTAAATTTAGCTCTAAGCTTCCTGGCAGCCATGTCAAAAAGGGAACCATAATGGGCTACCTCATTTTCACTGAAGGAGAAAAGGAAAAGTTTATTATGTGAGACTATTTGTGTTTTTCATGGAACTGAGTTCTAAAATGAGAATTTTCCTTAGGAATGGGCTTTTGACTTCAGTCTTTAGAAGATCATCTGTCCAGCTTTCCTCTGAAAACTCCCCTTTGAGCCACTTTATGGAAAAGGTATTTTAATGTAATTGTCAATGCGATATATGAAGAGAATTGAGCATCTGGAGACAGGCGAACTGCGTTCTAGTCCCAAGCCATTTCACTTCAATTTCCCCATCTCTAAATGGTTGAATCGATCCAAAAGTTTTCTGACATCTCTTCCAACTCTGACACTTGATGTCTCTGTGATGAGATCATCATGTTTATCTGCAAAATTCTAACAATGACTATTACTTAGCCCTCTGTGCTGTCTCTTGCAAAATCAGTTTCTCATTTATTCATTCCAGCGTGGAATGAGCAGTTACCGATTACTCAATCTCGGCCCTCTCCTGACCTTTATTCTTTTTTCGATTGGCTTAAATATTGCTGTTTTCTTTCTTTCTTCTTGATTGTAGTGAAAATATACTCACCAAAACATT